CACACACACACACACACACACACACACACACACACACACACACACACACACACAGATATAGACACACACACACACACACACACACACACACACACACACACACACAGAGAGAGAGAGACATACACAGAGACCTGACACACACACAGACATAGACACACACTCTCACACACACACACACACACACACACACACACACACACACACACACACACACGCACACGCACACACCACAGATACGTCACCACAGACAGCAGGCAGTTTGTGGAGAGCTCTTGTGTAACAGCATGAAGGGCCCTTGCGTCTGTAATTCAGTGCAATCAGAGACCCCTGGACCTTTGGGGTACAATGNTGTGAGCATCAGTGGATGTTTTCTCTACTGGTCTCTATTGTTCACGCGGCTGTTGTTAACTGTGGAGTCAAACCCGTCTCGTCAGGAGGATTCTTTCATGTGGCCTGGAGGTGTCCCCCCCCACCCCTCCCCCCCACCCCTCATGAATGTGTGTTTTTGAGGGTTCTGCAGGATTTAAACTGAATGTTTTTCACAGCCTCGGCGAAAGGGTTTTCTCAAACTTGCTGAAACCCAAACATGCAGATTGAAAGATCATTCCCGGAGATCATCCGTCCGTGCTGCTGCCTTCACTTAAGCACACTTTAGCCGTTTCAGAACTCTGTTGCACTGAGCTGCATTGTCATCCTCCAGTGTTTGGGCCAGGTGGTCTAGGAAAAATGACCATAGGGGGCTCTTGGAGTTCCAACTAACACTCTCCATCCCTGGTGAATCAGGTCAGTGTGGTCGGCTGACTTGGCGTCATACTTCATTTGAGTGTGCTCCAAAAAAGACACCACAGACTAGGGAAAAATCCCACAATGCCCAGCATTCACCGTTAAGTTGTTAACAAGGAAGGTTGTATGAAAAAGCTGACCATTAGAGAAGGTGACGGGGGTTTCAAGAGACCGAACAATGACCCAGTATCCTGGAAGAAGCTGGCCAACGAACCACTTTATACCTTTGTGTTCCTCTGAACTCTTTCATTTTAATACCATGTCACTTTTTGCTTTTCAAATTCAATTTTTTCCCATAATGTACTGCTACTGAAACTTCAGCCAGATGTGCTTTCAAGTAAATGTGTGTGCGCCCATGTGTGCTTGCATGCATTCATGCATGTGCATCCTTTAATGTGCTTCTTCTGGTAACAGTGTCTTAACTTCCTGTTGTCACAAACAGGCTCTCTGTTCCCTTTGGAAAAGCTCCACCTCAGGACAGATTAACTATCAGGTCATTTGTCACTACCTGCTGAGCACAGGGCAGGGAAGGTCATGGCACACAGCACATGTGTCTTTGTGTCTGTATGTCTGAAATGGAGAATAATAAACATTCCAGGACCTTTTGAAGGTCTTCTTTAGATACTGATTGACCCATCAGAGCAAGATTAAAGATTTTTTAGCCTGATGTCATTGTGATTGATCAGTTCGGGGTGATGAGTATATTAGCGATCAGTTACAAATGAGAGACTCTACCGCTGGCACTTTCATAATTAGCATATATTTTAGCCTGCAGATGGACATGTGGCTGTCAATCTTCTCTACGCTTGGTTGGTTTATGATGAATGCTTAGCCTGATGAGTTAGTGGACCGTTATCTCTTAGTAATGCTGGCCTTTTTGGACACAGTAGATTAGTAGTGCCCCCTACTGCCAAATGAGACCAAAGACTTTCTGTAAACAGAGATGAATAGGGCAAGGTGGGGGGAAGAAAGACCCCTTAGGTCGTGGAGCAAAGGTAGGACAAGGACTCCTCTTTGCTATAGCGTGTAATTGTACCCATCTGAAACCCCAGTCTGCCCCTCCCTCTATCCTCGACCCCCGCCCCTCTGTTCGCTCATGCCCACTGTGCAGACCACCTTGTCGCCCCAGGGATTCGCCCAGTCACCCAAAGGGAACGAGGCGGACCAATCGCTATGGCAACTAAGCAGTGAGGGTCAAACTGGGTCAATCAGAGACAGATTCCTGCCACCCTTGCTCTGTCATTAATTACCCATAGTTCCCTGGGGCACTGCTCCATGTGTAACCACATAGCTCAGGAGGTTGGATCCAAGGGGTTTGAGTGTATGATCAGGTGGAGCACACCATTTGTTTTTATATGTGTATCTGTGACAGGGTCAGTGTTGTATTGTATTACTAGCTAAGTGTGTGTACTACCTCTGACAGTGTTTGGAAAGTGGTGTTTCAAATGGATACGTCATGTTTGGAATCAAATCTCAATCCAGAGTCCCTCAGCATCTTGGATTTGAGTTGAGCGCCCACACCCCAGTCCGCTCTAACTTTAAACGTTTCAGTGTTTATAGGTTGTGACAACATTAGCTGTATCTGGTTTTGAGCTCTGCTTTCATCTTGAGCTGGTATTTGCATTTGTTAGGAATTATGTGGAGGAGAAAAAACGCATACCAATTCCCTTTTTTGTGTTTGTCAAGGTTTCCTTTTGTTGTTCTTGGAATCATCTCATATGAGTTAGAAATTAAAGTCATCTGTGGAGGGATTTCTAGAGAGTGGCGACTCCATTCCTCTCTCAATGTGATTAACATTAGGGTGCAGGGAATAAGATGAAATGCCCCAGAGGCTTCTTGCTGAAGTCTGGAGGTAGTTAAACGTCCTTCTGCAAACTTTCTTATTCCGTTAAAAAAA